TCTGTTGCATTGCATCTAACCTGAGTTCTCAGGAAAACTTCAGTGTAAAACGCTTTACATAGGAAGATTGTATTTATTGTCTAAACCAGGACACCTTTGAAAATGATGGGATGATAAGGACTATCAATAATTAAACCTGAATAACAGGAATAAACTTGAAGTATCCCAGACAGACCAGGGCATAAGATCATACTATTTGGAGAAAGACTTAAAATACGGTGTGAAGACACTGTCATAATTGAGTGAATCTCTTCTTGAGACTGTTTTTTTAAAGACAGATTCCTCTTAAATGCTCTGATACCTTAAAGAAGGAGATAATAGCCTACATACCTAACTCCTTAATCTGGCTCTTTTTCATTGAAGAATTCCGAAGATACACCTTTTTTCTTTTCTTTAAATAAGGTTGAGGAATTAGTAGCTAAAGGAAATTATGGCAGATGTATAAGATACCACTACCCGAAAAAGCTTTTAAAGCACGTTTATGCTTTTTAAAGTCATATGTTTGCTTATTTTTGATGATTATGAAATGTCTATGGGTCTCTAGTTTGGGACTTACTGGATTAGAATGTAGTTTATATACAGTAAATACAAAAGCATATTAACTACTGAGCAGAGTATTAGTAAACAGAAATAATAATAATAACTCCACATACATTATTTTTAAACTTTATAAAAACCTTTGAATGTACCATTAGCCCTACTTCACAGACCAAAAAAATGAAGTTCAGTAGCTCAATTAAGGTCACAAATTTGGGACTAAACAGAACCACTGCCTGAATCCAAAATCGATGATTACCTCTCCAGAGACAACACAATATATGCAATCTTTCTTTTCAGAAAAACCTAGAGATTGTCCTTGTCTCATCGCCATTTTAATCTCAGATTTTCTCTGGGATGACCAAAACTTGTAATTACAATATAAGATCATGTGTCTTTCCAGCAAAAATATATCTGCTACTCATATTGTTTGTGGAGTGGGTTTCCTAGTCAGTCTGCTATACCCACTTTTCTGACATGTTTAACCAATCAGGATGGTAACAGCCTTTATGACGAATAACTGTATGCCAGAGACAAGACTGATATCATTTACTCAATCATAATAGTTTTTTATGTTCTAATAGACTAAAAAAGAATAATAATTTCCCCAAACAGATTGCAGACCTGCTCGTTTCATGTCCCAAGATGGCTGTCTCCTTGGTAGCCACTTTCAACCACTTTTTCTGTCCTGGCCTCTTGTACTGTACAGCCTCAGCATCTCTCTCAGCCCTATTTAGACAACAAGTAGTAACAGGCTTACTGTGGAAACCGTTCCTAGGAACACAAGTCTGGCAAGTGGTAATGACACATAGATGAGCATAAACGCCACCCCACTGATTATACATAGCAGTGCTAACCTCACACATGAAACAGTGTGCTTGTAACCTAGAGGAAGCCTACATCAGAATCTCCTGCAGGAGCTGGAGCTCAGGGATACTGGATGCTCTGAAAATGATAGCAACTGTTATGCCCACTCCCATGAAGGCTGATCTACAGTCCACCTGCTACGACATTCCAGAGTCACTCTGAGATGAAGGGGTATTTACTTGACTTGGAGGCATTAGCAATCCATCTTTCTGAAGGCAACAGTGGCCTTTTTGTCAATTGCTTTCCTTCCAACATCCCATGAAATTTAGCATGCTGAATTAAAGCATTTATTAGAATAGGTTCCAATTGTATTTCTATTTTATTTTATTTTATTTTATTTTAGTTGTGGTATGCATGTGCTTACATAAATAAGTTACATGCAGGTAAGATTTGGGCTTCTAGTGAGCCTTTTCTCCCGCTGGTAGTGGACATGGTACCCAGTGTGGGTTGTGTGTATATTTCTCTCTTTTTTTTTTTGAGTTCGAGTCTCACTCTGTTGCCCAGACTGGAGTGCAGTGGCTGCTCCCGGCCACCGCAGCCTCGACCTGCTGGGCTCCGGCGATCCTGCCACCTCAGCCTTCCGAGTAGCCGGAATTACAGGCATGTGCTACCACGCCGGACTGATTTTTTGATTTATTGTAGAGATGAGGTCTCGCTGCCCAGGCGGGTCTTGAACCCGCGGGCTCAGGCAATCCACTCACCTCAGCCTCCCAAAGGCGCGGGATTACAGGCTGAGCCACCGAGCCCGGCTATATTTCTCTTTCTAACTTGACTTTCCTCTGCCTATCATGTCAAACATATCTACATACTCCTGAGAACAAAACACAGAACAAAAAACCAAAACAAAAATTTCAACATTTCTTTAACAATGCCTCTCATTTAAATTCTTGCCCTTTCTCCAGCTTTTTTAAAATTGATGTTGCCCACTTCTACACTGTTGGTGGGAGTGTAAACTAGTGCAACCTCTGTGGAAAGCAGTGTGGCGATTCCTAAAAGCTCTAAAAATGACCTTCCATATGACCCTGCAATCCCCCTACTGGGAATATACCCTGAAGAACACAAATCACTCTATAAAAAAGATACCTGCACACGTATGTTTATCGCAGCGTTGTTCACAATAGCAAGAACCTGGAAACAACCATGCTGCCCATCAAAAGAGGACTGGATTAAAAAAATGTGGTACATATACACGATGGAATACTACGCAGTCATAAAAAAGAACAAAATCATGAATTTCGCTGCAACCTGGATGGAACTAGAGTCTATAATACTGAGTGACCTCTCACAAAAACAAAAATCCGAATATCACATGTTCTCACTCATATAATGGACCTTGAACATCCAATGCAATACTATGAGAAAATGACGGATGGTACTGGGAAACTATGGGGGGGAGGGGGATGGAATTAACAGTAGCAAATATCTGTTGGGGGATGGGAAAACACTTCTTATCTACAGGGTGCCTGAATGAAATGTCATTGTACACCTACCTTTAACTGTACCCCACAAAACCATAATAAAAAATACTGATTAATGAAAAAAAAAAAAAAAGAACAACTTTATAATTAACAAATAAGTTGTTTTCTCTAAAAAGAAAAAAAATGTGTTTTCCATGACATGATAACCAGCTGTATTTAAGCTACTGAAACATCTGTACAGTTT